GGCTGAGGGCTGTTTTCTGGCTGGCGAGTGACTAAAGCTTACAACCGCTCCTTGTTTTCTTCTTCTTTTTTTTTTTTTTTCTGGGCCAGCTTTAGCTCTGAGGCCTTGCTGCTGAAAACATAGATACAATGTTGCGGTCCGAGCCCGGCTGAATGGAAGCCCTTTTCTGGGGTTTTGTTTAGCTTCTTATTTGCAACATAGTATATAGTTGCTTAGAGTTGCAGATGAGAGGCCGGCAAGTGTGGCGGGGAACGTTGGAGTCTGCAGCAAGCAAGCCTCCCTGCTCGCTTCAGTGCCTGGCTGCCGGCCGCCATCTTGGCTGACAGTTAATTTGCATATACTCACTGATTAGCCAATGAAAAGGGTAGTAGTCGTACGCCAATTACCATGTTTCTCTTTTATTAGTGTAGATATTCATATTGACCCTGTGAAGGTGATATTTTCATCCTTATTATATTTGACAAGAATTAATTTTACACTTTTAAGGACATGCCATTAGTTATTGGCTATGCCAATATTCAATGCAGTAAGAATTATACTCACAGATTCTAGTGATAATGCTAAATACTAGCATTCTTATAATTTTTACATTTTTTCCAACTTTAGTAATAATATCCCTTATCTTTCACATTAGCAATATGACCTTCAGCAAGTTATTTATCTCTCCATACCTCAGTTTACCATCTTGAAATTTGAAATAGTAATTATACGCAAGTGAATAAAAAAATATACATAAAGGTAAGAGGATGAAATAATTCGATACACATAAAGAAACAAAAGCAATGTATGACACATAATAAGTGGTCACTAAATACAAGTTTCACTTTATTTATTGATTTAACCTGATTTTCATGCAGACTTGATGTTAATATTCTTCATTCCAAATTTAATTTAATTTAATTTGAATACATATGGGGCAACTTCTCAAATTATCTCCTGGCTTTTATCAAGTTATCAGATAGAATATCCAATATATGATGAATAGTCTAAAACATAAATTATCACCTAATACCATTGGCATAAAAGGCGGGGGGAGGGGGGAAGTATCAGCTTGTTCATTAACATAAATTGCTCTAATGAAGCCAGCAGGAATAATAAAATGTTGGACAAACCAGCGTTACCTGTCCACAAACTAGTATTTTCATTCTGTTCTCCTTAAACATTGTCACTGAGGCAATAATAAACTAGTTATACTTCCCTGGGTTGTTTTTAGGGGGAAATAAACGAGAAAATGTTAAGACCCAGGCTTAACAGATCATTTTGTAAGTTGGCTCTTTTGTAAGGAAAAAAAAAAAGAAGCAAAAGACACCATAAAAGAAAACTCTGGTCAATGGCTGGGATGATGTTTTGAATATAAACTAGCATATAAGATTTACTTCTCTGAAAAAGAGACACAAAGAATATCCCAGAAATAGTCATAGCACAGTTAAAAAAAATCTCTACTATAACTAAAACCATATTTCCTAGGGGAAATGCCTGTTTATGTAAGCATATTTTCTTATAGTCCTGTGTATTCATATGGATAAGAAAAACAGTTAATATTATTTATTAATTGACTAGCAACATTTACATACCACAAACATAATCTTTTTGAAATTTCAAAGGCATGTATGTGCCAAGATGTTCTTATCTCCTCTAGAATACCCATGTGGTTAC